TTGTTTAGTTTGGTTTTATGCGTTTTTCTTTGTTTGTGTACAGGTAGAGGCCTTGCGACGAGCTGATCACCCGCCCAAGGAGTCCTACCGAATGTGTAAGATCTAGTAAGATCTAGAACAACCGAAGTGAACGGAGAAGTTCATGGAGGTAGGCCTAGGCCCACTGGGGCTGTAGTGCCACGGAAAAAAAAAGAAAACTCTTCTAGATAAATGATATCTGAGGTTCTCATGTTGGTGGATGTACGGTATTCCTGGATGTGACGTCATATAATTAGCACTCTTGTACCCTGAAGCTGGAGACAACAAGTTCCTCCGAAACGTTAGTCCGTACATACCAAATATAGACGTCACATCACATAAGATAACAATTCTATACATATTTATGAGTCCATGATGTATATGTATTGGCCTTCCTCTAGTGCACTCAATCTCACATGTCACTTCACTACATGTTTCGGCATCACTGTGCCATCCTCAGGTGTGTTATTTACGTTAAACTATTGCACTGCTCGCCATCATGTGTCGTTTGTAAAATGATTTAAGGTGTATATTCGTCATGTACTATAATAAAATTTATATATTAAAATTTTCTTAAGATTTATCATCTTATACGTCGTATTTCAAACTCGCGTATTATATCAATCTTCCGCTATGGGAGTCGTTCTTCCTATATTTTGTGTATACTGTGTCTTGTGATGTGTGAAGTGACAAGTGAGATTGTGTGCACTAGAAGACGGTAAATATATACACATCATGGACGTGAATCAGTGCAACAGGACGCTAAAATACAACAAATTTATGAGATTTAAGGTTATCACTACAGTTACTGTAAGGAATATCGTACCATGGGATTCGATGTAATGTAGTTTGCTTGCTGCCGAAGTTTCGGAAGTATATGCGGCCTCCATCTTCAGGATCGAAATAAGATGCACAGGTACCGGTTTCAGTCCAAGAAGCCCATAATAAGTACGATCCTGGCCAGTGGGGAAAGTGAACAGAGAAACGCTCTGAAAGCAATTGCATTCAGCCCTTAAAAAGGCCTTCTTTTGATAACACTTTCCTGTCTACTCTCCCTACTGGTATATACCGGTTACCGGCCCACAATCTTCTCCTATGTGTTATTTGGACCAAAAGTTCAACCTACACACTATGACCCTGAAGATGGAGGAAGGATGTATCTTCGAAACGTCGGCAACATTTCCAACGTCGTCACGGTGCGAACAATCAACACAACCACTGTGAAAACCTAAACTCACTAATGTAATTTTATTGAATTGTGATTACTTTACCGTTTATAAAAATTTTCCAGTAAATGCAGCTTACCTTAGACACGTTAGAGCTGTTCATACACGTCACTCGGCAGCACTCTCTGCCTGTCTGTGCGGAACTGTTCGAGTCATGTGTTGGTACTGAAGCTAACACGTGGAGGTCCTTGAGGAGGTGCTGAGCTAACCTAGCGATGTTCGCTGGTTACGTCACCCAGATATATTGACACCGGTTTAGTCTTTGTCATTGTCATTCAAGAGAACGAAGTTTTGTGTCTTAGATCCATAACAACGCCAGTATGAAGGTGACGTGTGGCTGTACCTCATTGTTTTACTTATGACAACATAAATACTGAAACGCGATTCTCAGCTATAGTAACGTATATTTGGCATCATCTGGGGAATATTTGATATGTATAATACCGAAAAGGTTGGAAGATAATATTAAAATGGATCCTAGAGAAATAGTATTGAATGTTCTTAACCGGCTTCATCTGGTCTAGGATAATTACCAATGGTGGGGCTTTTGTGGACACGGTAGTAAACCTTCGGGTTTCACAAAATATTGAGAAATTCCTGAGTCACCGAGCAACTAGCATCTCTTCAAGAAGGATTTGACTCCATGGACTTAGTTGGTTATATTCACCTTCGTTGTTATCCCAGAAGTGGGACAATTCCCCGGAACGCATTTCAAAGAATTAAGTTTTGTTATGTTTATAACTAGATATTCCGCGTTTGGAAGTAAGTCTAATTTTAAATCTTTCATATGTGGATGTAGGCTACACGGTAAGCATTGACACATTTAAAAGAAACAATATTTTATTCAAAAGAGAATACACGTCTCTTATTACAGTCAAAATTTGGAAACAGTTTTGCTCAAATCTGACTCTTTATTTACACTGAACAAATGTACATATTAACAAGTTCAAGTTACTTAAATTCCTCTTATTTCTGAATGTTCTTTTGAATTTAAAGTCCGTTGATAGTGACTTATTTGTTAGTCGAAGTCAAGCTGTCTGAAAGAACCTTCAAACCCAAAGAGATCGCTAGAATTGAAGGACTTCCCTGGGCGTTTCATTTCATCCACTTTGACATCCTCCTGTTCCAGAAACCAACTTCTGTAGCTTTCAAGTTTTTCCTTCCACATATCTGTTGTACCAGAAAATACAGATGTTAAATTAACTAATAAGCTACTTAAGTGAGTAATTAAGTAAATAAAGTAAATTCTTCAGCTGTTGTATTTTACATCTTGTCAGTAAATCCACTGATATTACGGAACGTTGAGGTTCTTAAGATTTAGCCTTGGCAAGGCGTTTCATCAACATTAATTCACAATATATCATCATTTATACGGTAATACAAGTTGCCAAGGTTGCATTTCCAGTTTAACTACCACTGAATGTAACTTCCACATTCCTATATATTGTACCTGAAAATATAAACAAAACAAACTCCGTGGCCTGTAGTCCGCTAGCGAACTATACCGACCGACCAACCGCCGCTTGTCGGCGAAGTTAGCGCCAACTTTTGCGGATAGACGGTGTCATATGGTCAGCGCAACGGATCCCCACCGCCCGTTAATCTCGGTTTTTAGACCGGAACCGCTATTTCCTTGAAACAGCTCCTCAATTATCTTCACAAGGCTGAGTGGACCCCGTTCCAGACCCGCTACTTCACAGACAGTCTGGTAGCGCCGGTAATCGAACCCGGGACCTCTGACTCTGTAGCCAGGAAGTTTGACCACTGGACTACAGATGGTAAACAAAAGTATACTGGGAAATATCCTGAGCTGTTTGCGACGAGGTGAAATACATATAATTTCAGACGTAATAAGGTACATAAATAAGTGTACAATTTGCTGTTTGTTGGAATATCAGCGTAAGCAGTTAATTCCTATGGGTTATTTGAGAGACGATGTATGTTTCTCGGGGACACTAACGATCACATTTTTGACCCTGACACGTGTCAGCGTTGGAGGCCATTTTGCTGACTTCTGAAGGAACTGATGCAAAATGAGGTGCGGTGCTCCAAGGCACACCCCGTGACACAGTTTTGTTTATCGAACCACAGTACGATCTATCGCAGAATGGCAAAGTGTTTGCAAGCAAGGTTCCTTCCCCTTCCGTAATATATACGGACGGTCCATATATACTTTATGCAACATGTTTCGGCTAATTGAGTCCTCATCAGGTATGTGATTTGTTTACATGCACCTGTGGGGGCACACGGTGTGGTAGTCGCTTGAGGCACTGTGCTACAAGCCGGAAATTTGCGGGTGCATTTTACCACGAAGTCACTGGTTTTTTATTTGACATAATCCTTCCAGCCGCAATATGAACCTGGGGTCGACTCAGCTTCCAACAGAAATGAATACCAGGAATCTTCCTGTGGGTTACGGGCTGCCGGATCGTAAGGCTGACAACCTCACCGTAATCTATGAGCCGATTGTCTAGAAAATACAACCTTGTGGATCTTCACAGCCTGTTTCGGGGATAATATTATCTTTTTTTACCAATGTTTTAAATTCGCTAGGAGGAACGGAAATGATGAATATGACGGTAAAGAAGAGGGAGAATGATGATACGAAAGGGAGTGGATGAAGTAGGAGAGGAAGAAGGTATTTTTGAAGTTGAAATGTATGTCGGTTCTGAAGAGCAAGAAGTTTGTGATAATAGGCTGATGATGAAGACGAAAAGAAAGAAATATGGTGATTATGGCGATGAAGAATATCGTCCTCTACTATGACGACAATGAAGATAAAGCAGATATGGTCAATCATGTGGTTGAGGATGATGCAGACGATAACAATGGTGAAGAAACCGAAGATGGAGTTCGGGCATTAGGACACTAAACCTAATTTAATCTCACAAACATAATGGAAGCAAAGCAAACACACGTCGTGCCTTACTCCAGTGGTCATGTAAAGGTCCAGCATCTCCCCCGTACTCCGTGGGCAGTATTCTGGGCGAGACATGTTTCAGGAGAGAGTTGCAGCCTTTCCTATGCACGTGTATCTGTGGGAAGGAAGAACAGGTCTCACTTCAAGCCCACACTTTTATAGAGCGCTGGTTGATCTCCATCCTCATGAGCAACTAACAGAGAGGGGAAGCATAAGGATGTATTCATTCATTCATCGATGGCTCTACAGCCCTTTGTTGGGTCCTTTCCTCCTCTTCAGTTTCATAATCTTTTTACACAGACAGTAGGAACCCTTGGACGGGGGATAAGCCCATCGCAAGGCCACACACACGCCGACACAAACAGAATAAACACACAACACAGACATCCATTCCTTGAGTGGGATTGGAACCCACGATCCCAGCATTTGAGCGAGCGAAGACAGTTTATAGCTTAGACTGCGAAGCTACTGTGATCAACAAAGGACAAGAAACATGCCGCGCCAAAGCTCAAGCGGTTAGTCGCTGGCTTCCCACCGCGGCGGCCCGGGATTGGTCAATTGTGATTTATGGTGGACAAAGTGGCGCTGGGGCGGGTTCTCTCCGACTACTTCGGTTTCCCCTGCCAATTTTCATTCCACCAAATTCTCCATTATCATAATCATCCGGGGCGTGCTACAATAGGCCAATCAGTGGCCGCCGTGCCGAGTGGAACCAGTTGGACTCCACACCCCACTAAGCGAATTAAAAAAAAAAGAATTGGGAGATATACCTAAAGCTGGAAGTTAGACACGTTCTGTCTATTATAAAAAGGCAAAGTTATCCCTGTAATAGGCCATTGAGGCCCGTAGGGTTGCGAGACGTCGAGGCTCGTACATTTTCTAACAGTCTGCTCACAGATGGCGGTAAGGTTGTCAGCCTTAGGCGCCGGCTGCTCTTTACCCCCCACGGAGATTCCTGGTACTCATTTCTTTTAGAGGCTGAGTCGACCCCAGGGCCATAGTGCGACTGGAAGGATTAGGTCAATTTAAAAAAAAAATCCACTTTATCGGGACTCGAACCCACGACCTTTCTGCTTGTAGCATAGTGCCTCAACAAACTCTGCCACTGCCTGCATTCATATTACTTGCTTTGTGCGACGAATGCATCAAGTTTTCTGTAACGTTCAAAGATTTTTTTCCCCTTGGCACTACAGCCCCAGTGGGCCTAGGCCTACCTCCATGAACTTCTCCGTTCACTTCGGTTTTTCTAGATCTTACACATTCGGTAGGACCCCTTGGGCGGGTGATCAGCTCGTCGTAAGGCCTCTACCTGTACACAAACACAGAAAAACGAACACACACAAACTAAACATCCATGCCCTGAGTGGAATTCGAACCCACGATCCCGGTTTCCGAGCGAGCGAAAACAGTACATGCCTTAGNTACCTCTCAGGAAACATATCCGAACCCACGATCCCGGCTTCCGAGCGAGTGAAGACAGTGCATGCCTTAGACCGCTCGGCTACCGTGACCGGCAGTGTATAAGAATAATATATAAGAATTCAGTTCGTACCTCACAGGAAACAGATTCGAACCCACGATCCCGGTTTCCAAGCGAGCGAAGACAGTGCATGCCTTAGACCGCTCGGCTACCGTGACCGGCAGTGTACAAGAATAATATATAAGGATTCAGTTCGTACCTCACAGGAAACAGATCCGAACCCACGATCCCGGCTTCCGAGCGAGCGAAGACTGTACATGCCTTAGACCGCTCGGCTACCATGACCGGCTACGTTCAAAGAATGAGAATTGATATTCTGAAATTGTACTAAGCGATCGCTTTTTTTAGGGTTTGTGATTAAAATTAAATGCGAATTTCTCATTTAGCGCACATGATAAATGTCTGGCCTATTTGACGCAAATTGATTTGGTCACCTTAATAATAATTAATGAAGAGCTCTACTCACTCTGGCAACGAATTTGGGTTTCAGGGTGTTCTTAATTACAGTCACTGCCGAATCCACGAAAGGAGGAGCGTTGATGAAGTGAATTCCTTTGACCCGTCCCTTGAAACCTTTCTGTAATCAAAGCGAATTAACTTTGTGAGAAGTGCCATGGATATTAGTACTTCTTGCAGTCTATAATGAGTCACGTGAATATTGGTTCAGCTTTCTCTCTGTAATAAGTTACTTCCTCTTCTTTGTTACAATTCTACCTACTTATGGCCCTACAGCCCTTTGTTTGATCTCTGCCGTATTTTTTCAATTTCTTAATCCTACACATAGTCGGTAGGACTCCTTGGACGGGGGATCAGTCCGTCACAAAGCCGCTACCTACACACAGAACAACACATAAACAGAATATACGCGCACAAATAGCCATGTCTTGAACGGGATTCGAACCCACGATCCCAGCTTTCGGGCGAGAGAAGACAGTTCAACCCTTAGACCGCGCGGCCACTGTGATCGACTTCGGTAACAATTAATGTGAACAATAGAGAAATGCGGTTACGTATAAGGAAATAACGCACAATATTAACTAGAATTACGATTTCAGAGAAGAAAATACAAATTAAACCTACCCTTGTATCGCAGTTTCGGGACCTGTTGCTGACTCTTCCCCTTTCTTCTCTGACAAAGTCAAAACTTTTATTTGTAGGGGTTAATATGCCCCGGAATTATGTGTGTCCCAGTATTCTCTAGGTCCCTTCTATCGCCCATTGCGTCATAACTATATCATCAGGCGTGAAGCGGAAGTCCCTCTCACTAAATGCATTCATTTAAAATGCATGTGGATGCGCCCATCGCTCCTTGAGACAGGTGGCAAAAACCACAAGGTCATAATAAATTGCTAGATAATTGGACTACTGTTTCATTTAGCTGCGGGTTTTTATGTGTCTGTGTTATGACTCACTAATGACAGGTACAGAAACATGAAGTAAGAAAGGTCATGGAGCAAAACTGTCTTAGCCTGTCCCGATATGTGGACAGAATGAATAAGGGCAATGCCGGTAAACCCCACAGAGCAGCTCATACGCTTCTAGAGAACGGAAATATGAAACAGCTACGCTAACCATTGAGGGCCTTGACTACGTTGGTTGTAAGAAAAGTACTGTCCTCTGAGGCATGAAGAGGTTAGTCCATCTCGTAGTCCCCACTTGGAGGAAGACAACAATAAAAATTATGGCTTCATCACTCTTTAGCTAACGTAAAATGCCTTATTCATATTTTGATGATAAGTATCTAAGTTACTTTATTGACGAGGAAGAGAGAAAGCTGTGTTAATACTGGAGAGTGGTCTTTAAATGCTAGAATTTCAAATAAAAGATATACAGGTAAAGCTATCCCTGCAACGAGCCGTGAAGGCCCATAGGGTTGTGAGACGTCGAGGCTCCCACATCTTCTAGACAATCTGCTCACAGATGGCGATAAGGTTGTCAGCCTTGCGTTCCGGCCACCCTTTACTCCCCAAGAAAATTCCTGGTATACATTTCTGTTAGAGGCTGAGTCGACCGCAGGAACATAATGTGGCTGGATGGATTAGGCAAATTGAAAAAAAAAACACTTCATCGGGACTCGAACCCGCGACCTTCTGGCTTGTAGCATAGTACCTCAAGCTAGAGTTTCAAGTAATCATTTTAAATACTAACGGAAGTAGAGATTTAAAGTAATTTCCGTTGTACTTTTCACAGAAAGATCGCCCCGTAGTGAGACTTGTATCTCAGTGTTCTACGCAGTCTTTGTAATTTTTTATGTATTCGGTCTTGCGACCCAATAGTTCCACGAATCTTTAATGAACAATACTTATTATTTTAATCGTGTCAACAGGAAAATTAATCAAATAAGTACTAAACTAAACGGTTGACTTGATACCCAAAAAACTACATGAATTACTAATGTGAGAATACAGAATATTTCATGGCCATAAAATAACTGATTAAATAATGTGTCATGTAGACCCGTTGCTAAGCAACGACTGCAAAACAAAAAACTAGACAAAGGCCGTTACTAGGCAACGGCCTGTAAACTGCAATACTAGCGATGTTTTCTGTGCTGACTGTGCCGAGATGTTACGAGCAGGACAGTTAGTGAGAGTCAGTTGAGTTGAGGTGACTTGGTTGGTGAGTGACTGAGGAGGGTCAGGCGTTGTGAACTGTTGCGGTGAGAAGCTGGTAGATGAGGCCGTGGGTAATTCGGGAACGCAGAGGAAGGGGAACATCCACTGTTGAAGCTGCCACGGAGTAACGGGTAATGAAGACGTGACTGTGGGCACTAGTGTGGAATAGTCACTCGATGTATCAAACAGTCCAGTAAATCCGGTCATCAATCCAAACCCCGTCTGAAGTCACTAATAAAAGTAAAGTAAAGAAAAGAAAAGTAAAGGTATCCCTGTAACAGGCCTTGAAGGCCCATAGGGTTGTGAGACGTTGAGGGTCCCACATTATCTAGACAGTCGGCTCAAAGATGGCGGTGAGGTTGTCAGCCTTACGCGCCAGCCGCGCATTACTCCCCAGGAAAATTATTTAATTAATTCCTGATGCTCATTTCTGTTAGAAGCTGAGTCAAACCCAGGGCCATAGTGCTGCTGGAAGGATCAGGCCAATTGCAAAAGAATTCAGTGACCTCATCGGGACTTGAACCCGCGACCTTCCGGCTTGTAGCATAGCCCCTCAACCAACTACGCTACCGCGTGCCCCCATCTATAGTTACTCATATATGTGACAATACAATAGTTTCGTAGTTCGATTGGGGGACAAATGATCACGAGGGGTGTGATGCAGTCTCCTGCTCTCTCATGCTACCTGCGGTGGGTACTTCCCCACCGTCTACACTGGTAACAGACCAAGAACGGAGAGAGAGAGCGGAGTGCGAATGTCAGTAGAAGTGGGGGAAGGCACGCAGAAGAGGGGTTCCTGCTGGACAGGCGTGTTAGAAAAAAACATATGTTCATTCTCTGCATTACCCGAATAAAACTAACTTACTACGAGAAATAGTCAGTAAATCAGTCCCAAATGGAAGTAAAACAGCTGTAATGGATGTAATAGGTTTTCTATGTGTGTCACTAGGTAGCAGCACACTCCAGGTTCGTTACAGTATAGGTAGCAGACGAGCATACTCAATTTTTGAGGCTGGTTTTAGTAGTCAAAATGGCGACCATGCTTGAGGACCAGCGTTCTACTGTGGCTTTTGTGGGTAAAAGAATTAATTCAAAGGATATGCATAAAAAATGTTTCCTGTTTACGGTGGGAAGTATCTTTCGCGTAAACCGGTTCACAACTATGTCAAGGCACGTGGCGTACGTTTCACTGATGACGAAGAGGTTGAAACAGATATGGGGCTGTGTCTGAAACAAGAGTCAGAATATTTCAATGCTGTGGGTTTCGACGCAATGACAGAGTGATGGGACAAGGGTATCAATGTTGGTGGAGGCTATGTCGAGGAATAATTTTTTTTCCCCCCCCAGATTCGAATATCAAATATTTTAAATTTTATATATATTTCTGATCAATTTACCGACTCTCATACATACATTTAATTTTCTTTAATTTGTTTATAATTTGTTTAATGACGCTGTCAGTAGCTCACACTATGTAGGATCAAATAAATGAGTGGTTGGTGTGTAATAATCTGAAAAGAGAAGTGGCCTTTACATCATGCACTTGTCTTTTCTTTCTTCCTTTGTTTCTTACTTTCTATGAAGCGACTGACAATGGAATGGCATTTATATCTGCGGTAAGATAGAATCCTTCACTGACTTACCAAGGCGCTAATTTGAAGTTTCTTGACAGCGGGTAAAGTGTATTTAACTACGTGTCCCATTGTGATGTTTTCCAAATCCACAATGAAGATTTCAGATAAATTGTAGTCTTCTGTGTTTCGTATCTCAAAAATCATGAAAATCATTTTGAATACGTCATATACGATGTACTTGGAGGGGTCTTTGTCCAGGTATACCAACAGTGACACTCTGTCGTAATCCTCTGTCAGTTTGGGCAGTGGTACAAAACACCTGAAATATGATAACACTTTATGATAACTCTCCTTAGGTGCTCAAGAATAATTCTAATGTGCCAGAGGTTAGAAACGAATATGGACTGTCATCTCTGCTATGTGCTTTACATGCATATTTAATAAAAAAAGGTAAAGCTATCCCTGTAACTGGCTGTAGAGACAAGTAGAGTTGTGAGACGTCGAGGTTCCCACATTTTCTAGACAATCGGCTCACAGATGGCGGTGAGGTTGTCACCCTTACGCGCCGGCCGCCCTTTATCACCCAGGAAAATTACTGGTACTCATTTCTGTTAGATGCTGTGTCGACCCCAGGGTCACAGTGCGGCTGGATGGATTAGGTCAATTGAAAAATTCAATGACCTCATCGGGAATCGAACCCACTTCCGGCTCGTAGCGTAGTATTTGAACCAACTACACTACAGGCCACGCCATAGCTCAAGTGGTTAGTTGCTGGTTTCCCACCGCGGCAGCCAGGGTTCGATCCAGGGTCTGGTCAGATGGGATTTGTGGTGGACATAGTGGCGCTGGGGCAGGTTTACTCCGAGTACTTCGGTTTCCCCTGCCAATTTTCAATCCACCAATTGCCCCACAATTACCCTCACCTATCATCTGGGGCTGGTACAATAGGCCAGAAGTTACCGCAGCACAAGGGACTTAATCCCACCCCGCTAGCAATTAAAAAAACTACACTACAGCACGCCCCAAGCATATTTTGACTAAATAATAATAGTAATGATAATGATTATCATGATAATTATAATGCCATTAAAATTATTAGCTCTGAACTTGTAAAATTAGACGCAGCTTCATTGTCTAATACCTACAGGTTTATGGGTTAATGGGACCTGNCTAAGTTTAAAGGGCCGTCGGATAAAGGATATATATATATTGAATACAAAGAAATGAAACTTTGTAGACCTAAACATATGCTTGACATTATCCACTAAGTACATAGCGGGATAATAATTTTAGTACGTGTATTATTGGATAATATGTGCAATTATAGGTTCCTTTTTAAATAGGCAATACTAAAGAAAAATGAACCCTTGTAATCCGAGTCTTACGTCACGACCAACGGTCAGTCGGTCAGTCTGTCTTGGCATAAAGCACCCATCCGGGGCTTACGACCAGATCTTTTTTACTGCCAGACAGTTGCAGGTTTGCTGATGTGGGGCGATGCCTCGTACGAGACGACGGGTCTGTCATTTAAAATTTCTGCCGGATTCGCCAGCACAGTCATGCTCGGGTGTCAGTCCCGTGAGTCTCGCGACAATCTTTTACTCTCTCAGATTCGAGACTTCCCTTTGTGTCGCCTCCTAAAACCCGCAGGGCTACGGTGGAGGTATCCGAATCCGCCTCCACGCGGGATGCTTTCTCTATGGAATTAGTTACGTGTCCCCAGTTTATAACTCGGGGCGAACCGATCGTGATTACCACCTCAAACATTTCATCTTTCATTTGGTGGCTGTCAGTTGCTAAGAAACGTGAGACAAACTCTTAGCAACAAATATTTAAAACATTTCACATTGTCCAGCTGTCTTTGTTCTGTCTTTATTGTGACTGGGGTTGGTTGTCTCGTAATTTTCATTATTTTTGTTTTTTTCACATTAATTTCCATGCCATAGCACCTTCCAATTTCGATTAGTCTATCAATCATGCCCTGTAGCACAGTTTCTTCCTTAGCCATTAACACAAGGTCATCTGCATATTTCACCGTTTGAATAATTTGCCCTCCTAACTTGAAGTCTCGAAGCCCATCCAGAGCTTCCTTGGTAAGGCATTCGCTGTACAAATTGAACAAAATTGATGGCCCTATGCCATGCTCAAAATATGGGGTTCTACTTGATGCTTGTAACGTATTTTGTAAAGCATGTATCCTGATTCCACGTGTTTTGAAAGCCCCTTGACATTTTGCAAAATCGAGGATTTACCTGAGGCTTGAAGCTTGTTTAAACCAAGGCTCATAAGGATCCCTGTGGCAAAAAATCTCGGGTATGGCGGATCTAAGCGTGTAATACATGTCAATGGTCTGCTTGCAGATCTCTACTCGTCCCTTGCATCTTAATAAAAGTGTCTCCAACCGTACTTCATCTGGAAACATAAACAGATTAACAGAGCACAAACGTTGAATTAAACTGTTTAGTGGTTAAGGTAGCTGTGGGGTAGATAATAGATTGCTTTCAAAATAAATCAGGCACATGGTAGGGTGTTTGAAGCATTATGCTACAAACCGACGAGCGGCGGGTTCGATTGCGGATGTCACTGGGTTTTCCTTTTGACTTAATCCTTCCAGCCGCAATAAGGCCTGGGTCGGCTCAGCCTCTGACAGAAATGAGTACCTGAGGATAAAGGGCGGCCGGAACGTAACGCTGGCAACCTCACCGTCATCTGTGAGCCGATCGTTTAGAAAATGTGGGAACCTCGACGTCTCACAACCTTACGGGCTTCCACGACCTCTTATAGGGATAGTTTTGCCTTCGTCTTCAGTATGAATCTCGGTACATAAAAGGCTCTAAGATACCACAAATTGGCTCAAGCGGTGACGCTGCGGACTTGTATGGTGAGGGTACTCGGTTTGAATCTCGGCAGGGTTGCCCAATAATCTGTTATCGTAATTTTTCTCATTCCGCTTATGTAAGTGCTGGGATTGTATCCGAAATTATGCCGCCATTCGACGCCATGTAGTTCTAGCGTCGTTAAATAAACCATAAATAATATATTAATATATTTTTTATTCACGCAGCTTCGTAACTTGTACTTTTCCCCAAGTACAATTAGAATGATCAAGTCAAGGAGGATGAGATGGACAGGGCATATAGCACAAATGGGGCGTAGGTAATGCGCATAGGATATTGGTTTGAAAACCAGAAGGAAAGAGACCACTTGTAAGACCAAGACGCAGGTGGGTGGATAATATTAAAATGGATGTTAGAGAGATAGAAGGGGATGGTATGGATTAGATTGAACTGGCTCAGGAGGGCTCTTGTGAACACGGTAATGAACGTTCCGGTTCCATAAAATTTTGGAAAGTTCTTGAGTAGCTACAAAATTGGCAGCTTCTCAAGAAGGGCTCAGCTAAATTAAGTTATATAAAATCAATACAGAGTCCGTCGAGTGTAACAATGTTTTTTAGGTCACTTCTTTCTCACTCTTGCCTTACATGTTTCGGTTTTAGTAAAACCATCTTCAGAGGCACATGGTACTAACAAGAAAACACTGGCGTTGTTTAACTGTCTAACAATTCAAAATAAATTAAGTTATTTTATTAGTTAGTTAGTAAATCCGTTATTCACACTTTGTCGCTTCACTCAACTACAATATGAAGTACTGAAACCATGAAGAATGTAAATAAACTAAGAATAATCTATATGTATATAGTTACCATAGTTACCATAGTCGTGAGGCAGATGTGGCTGTTTCTTCAACCAGTCCTTCAAAGTTTTCACGGCCCCCTGTAGCCTCTGCTCGTCTATCCCAGCCCTCGTTCGAATTTTGTCTATTGTTTCTTTATTCGGTATTAATTGGGTCATATCTATTTACAAGTCCTGCAAGAATAGTACAGGGTTATTCATAAGTTCGTGAAACATTTTGAAAATATACAATAAATAGACTACGCAACGGATACCAAATTTTATTACACTGAAATAGAGATAAACTCACCAAGTTTTTTTTACATATTTCACAGATGCCCAGCGTGTCCAACTTTGCTAATACGGCAAACATCTTTGCGATAATCCATTTCGTCCCACACCCATGTCAGCATATCACGGTTGACCCGAGCCATAGCAGCGGTGATACGGTTGCGAAGATCCATGAGATTAGCAGGCAATGGAGGGCTTAAAAGAACTTGGGGAGATTCGTTCTCTATCGGCGTAAGAATTACCATGACCCGAAGCACTGTTTATTTGTTTCACAGACTTATGAATAACCTTGTATATTAACTTGTTTGTGTGTGCTGTATCGCAGCGCTACAGTAAGGGTCACTGTATTATACAGCACGTAAAATTGCTGGATTCATTGTGGCAGCCATCCGCAGCAAACAGCGTAGCCAGACGTGAAGCCAGCAGGCATTTCAGGGATAAAGAGGGGGAGCAGTAAGAACAAGAACATTAGAGACCTGTATAGAGGGATGAATTAGTTTAAGAGGGTTTACCAATCTAGAAGTAACTTACTGAAGGATGAGAATGGTGATCTGATTACAGATTACCACAATATTGACACGTTTTTATGGCTACGTGACTAATAATAACGAGTTTTGAATTGGATGTTCTGATTTATTGACGTCTTCTTTACAATCGCTCATAATTACAGTCAATTACAATGGCTCAGAGTAATTCTTTAGCCGAACTTGCTCGATTCTGATCTGATCTCCTCTCTCCCTATTCTGCTCTGAACTACGACTGACTCCATTCTGGTCTCCTCTGCGACTAGATTCTGAATTACGACTGATTTCATTCGAAGTCCAGTCAAAGTCCAAGTTTCTGTACGACTCGCGGTTTACCGACAATCAGTTCGTCTTGGTGTCAAGCCCCTTAAGCCTCACGACCGGAGATCTTTTTTTCAACGCAGACCTTGCTGTAGTTAACAGTATTCATGTAACTTCCTTGCTGACGAGAAGACGGTTTCCTCTTATGAATATGCTTGGCCTTTCGTCAAGCGTACATATCGCACTTACGTCATGTTATTAAATATTCGTCTTTTGAACTATATATGTCCTCTGTCGGTACAGGCTTTGCTAAGAAGAATATGCCTATATTACGTATCTTATTCTACAACGGCAGCTTAGTCATTTGAACAGTCGTAAGCTTCACCACCGCCAAGTTTAAGCCTCCTGTATTTTCTATGTCTGGCTTCACCTTGTCATGTACTGTGAACATGTTTATTCTCATGATTTTGCATGACTTCTGCTTGTTTCCTGCACAATTTTTTTATATAATCATATCAATTGAAGGTTGAAAGCCGTGTGCAAGTCGCGAACCGGTGTGCACCTTGGAAAATTTCCAATGGTACGCAAAATATTATTTTGAAGGAAACGTGTTTTTCACTCGTTTCCTGGCATTGGGTCTACATGTGATAATATTTTGAATAGGTGGAAGAATAGTTTCTCTCACCTATTGAATATACATAGGGTCAGCGATGTTAGGCAGATAGAAATACATACAGCTGAGCTGTTAGTACCTCGTCCTAACCATTTTGAGGTTGAAATTGCTATTGGAAAAGTTTAAAAGTTATAAATCGTCAGGTAGCAATTCAATTCTGGCAGAAGTGAACTATTACGTTCTACGACACTGGTCTAGAGGTAAACACAGAGAAAACTAAGTATATGTTGCTGTCTCGTCACCAGAATGCAGAGCAAATTCATGACATAAACTTAGGAAACAAATGTTTGTGGCACAGTTGAGATATTTGGGAACAACGATAACAAATCAAAATCTGATTAAATAAGAAATTAAGAGGAAATTGAATTCGGGTAATGCTTGCTACCTTACAGTCTAGAACCTTTTGTCTTCTCGTCTGCTGTCTACAAACATAAACAATTAGAGTATAAAAAAACTATAATTTTGCCTGTGGTTCTGTATGGGTGTGAAGCTTGGTCTCTGACATTAAGGGAGGAGCATAGACTGAGGGGTTTTGAGAAGAGGGTGGTGAGGAGAATATTTGGACCGAAGAGAGATGAAGTGTCAGGAGGTTGGAGAAAACTGCATAATGAGGAGCTTCGTAACTTGTACTCTTCTCCAAGTATAATTAGAATGGTAACGCCAAGGAGGATGCGATGGGCAGGGCATGTAACACGGAAGGGGGTGGAGCGGAATGGAATTAGAATATTGTTGAGAAAGCCATATGGAAAGAGACCACTGGGAAGACCAAGGCGTAGGTGGGTTGACAATATTAAAATGGATCTTAGAGAGATAGCATGGGATGGTATGGATTGGATTGATGTGGCTCAGGACAGGGACCAGTGGAGACCTCTTGTGAAGACGGTAATGAACCTTCGGGTTCCATAAAATTTTGGGAAAATTTTCAGTAGCTGCGTGACGGGCGGATTCTCAAGTAGGGCTCAGTTCCATGGAATTAGTTTGTTAATCCAACATTATGCAACTAGGATTTGTAAAGAAGTATGAGTCACTACTCGTATGTACAGTTTTTGTACTGCAAAACGAAGTGATAATGAATTCAGCAGTGAAATGATTGAATTCTATGTAACACCGATGTGTTCCCTGTTTAGCAGCTGAGGTTGTATCTCATGCTTTGAAAAGACACTTTTCACACATACACTCACAACAGAAATCCTGTGTGTTCGAGTTCTGAGGTCTGGTCATTTTAGTTCCCATTGATTACTTATGACAGAATCTAATATTATTCCAATGATTACGTAACAGTCAACATCATTATTTAATGATTAATTCTCTCAATGTTTTCCTAAGGCATACGTGTAGTTTGTTTACTTGATTTTTACAGCTCCTTGTTTTTTTTTTCTTTTGCTGAAGATAATGAAAGAATGACGTCAATTACAGGCCGAAGATGTACCTCGAATGGTGACATATGAAATGGATTTTACGGAGGGACGGAAATAAATTATAGGGAAGCTGACAATGATTTTGTCAAGAAATGTTCTGCCATTTATGAACGGGAAAGTTTATTACGTCATTCAGGAAAGCGTGCTACTGGAGCCTATTGTGAAGGAGATTATGGTGCTCTTGGGTATAATATACTGTAGTTTTGTCACTAGTTAAAGACCTTTCGGGAGAAACCTCTGCCTTCTTCTACACGATAAAATTAGTGTGTCTCTACTAAATTATAGGAACCTCGATCTTGATACCACATAATTTAACATAAAAACTATTTTTCCTAACAATATTTATTTACAAATATCTTCCTCGCAAGAAACAGGAGCGATTAATTCGCTAAGTGGGTCTTTGTATAGGAAGAAAATTTTGTTCTCTGGGGGGATAGGAACCAAATAGTCAAATTTTATTTGGATGAATTTAAGGATGGAAACGGTTATTTTTTTTTGTTTTTGTGACTAATGAATAACTAAAATCCGTAGCTTTTATTCCGCAAGCGAAATATATCGACAGAGCGACCGCCGCTTGTCGGCGAAGTTAGTGGCAACATTTGCGGATAGAGGGTGTCGCGTGTTCAGCGCAACGAATCCCCACGGCCGTTAATCTCGGTTTTCTAGACAGGGGCTGCTATTTCTTTGAAATAGCTCCTCAATTATCTTCACGAAGGTGAGTGGACCCCCTTCCAGATCCACTACTTCTAAAAAAATCTGATAGTCCATTCAAAGTCAAATGACATTTCGGAGGAATATATGGTCTCCGTGTTTGGAGTCGATATGACATAGGACTGTACATAATTTATCCCACAAGATAGAAATTTTTAGATGCTCCCATACAAGTTTTATTCAGAAGAGTTCCTTGTATTGTCCAGCAGTGATATTTTATATATATATATATCATATCGAGGCTTGCATGCAAGTCTGTTGGAAGAGCCTGTGTGTCAGTAATTTACTTTGCGTAGGTGGTGTCACGTGCAAACCTTGTGGCCATCAGAGAAGGCTCTAGCCTTGAGTGTGATCGGTCGGATGCAGCTTCGGGCTAGCGGTTTTTTGAATAATATTTATAGACTCCTACTCTGGTTCGAACCTGACTTGAAGTAGAATACATCTTTTTTGACCACTAACTTTGTCAATGTTATTTGATAAATTCCACGGAGCAGAGTGTCATATTTGAGAAGCTTATATTTGCCCACATGACTATGAAATTCACTCTTGTTTCGGTATCAGCGTTTGACAAGAACAGCTGGACGCCATGTGAATCCAGTTTTTTTCAGCCAGCATATTCACATGTTACTTCATAAGATTCATTTTAATATTGTTCGAGATTTGACATTCTTATACCGGTAGAAATATACTATCGTTTCAGTGGAACCAGTTGCCTCCATATTCATGGCAGAAGCTGGAGACATACTACTAGGCTACACGGCGTCATTAATAGTGTCCTCTATGCTTGTGTTTCCTAAATGTTTCTTTCCCCCCCCCCATTAAGGGTTTCCAACTAAATATCCTGTATGTTATATTTCAGCATCCTGTTTCATTGGGGCATTATAATTATTATCAAAGCACCCGTCAATAGTGCAAAAATGCCATCTTCAGGTGCTTACTTATCCACGTCAAACCAGTTCATTGCATGCCATGTTCACACATTAAAATAACTAAAATATGTATCTATCATATACATTGTCAAACGTTAAAAATATTAAAATTGTTCAGGGATTGTTCTCATGGGCGTGACTGACGTAGTGAGGGGCGACGTAGCGATGTGGTATCCTGAACAATTTTAATATTTTTAACGTTTGACAATGTATATGATAGATACATATTTTAGTTATTTTAATGTGTGAACATGGCATGCAATGAACTGGTTTGACGTGGATAAGTAAGCACCTGAAGATGGCATTATTATGCCGAAACATGTAGTGCGAGGGAGAGAAGGAGATAAATGAGTGTATGCACTGCAAGACGGATTAAATAAATCATGGACTTAAATCAGTGCAACAGGACGCTAAAATATAACAGTGCAAAAATATTTGTGTTTAATTATAAAAGACATATATAATATGTTTCTCACTAATAGTACCACTTTAATACTTTACGATGTTGAAATTATAAAACGTCATTAAGATACTAAAAGTATAACTAAAAGTGATCATCAAATTATTAAAAGTCTCTAGTTTTAATGTGTTTCATCTCACTTTACAACATGTTTCGGCCGCACATGGGCCATCATCAAGTAATTTCCTTTTGTTTTCGGAGAGACCACTGCACTGTTCACTTGTCTATCTACATTGTTTAACTTTTATCTCACGACTAGAGCGCAGTGCCTTGCGGTTCGATGGCCGCAAAAGAGTACAATGACAGCGTTGTAATCGCGAGATAGCAACTAAACAAGCCCCTTGAGACCCACGACCAGAGATTTCTTTTTCAATTCAACTCTTGCGGTAATAGTCCTCATATAACATCCTCTCTGACGAGAAGATGGGTTTGTTTCTTATGAATATGATTGGCCTTTCATCATAGAATGTTGTTCAAAATTCTTCCTTTTGCACTACACACAAGTCAGTCAGTACAGACTTTACAGAGCAGATCATGCACACTCGAATCGAAGTCGAAGTCGAAGTCACATTGCGACTGACGGTCAGTCAGTCAGTAAGTCTTGGTGTCGAGCCCCATCTGAGGCTCATGACCAGATGTTTATTACTGTTTAACATTTGCAGTCGTGCTTTTGTGGGGCGTCCTCTCTGACGAGAGGACGGGTCTGTCTTCTATAATTGCTCCTGGTCCTCACCAGCGCGTTCTTTCTCGGGTCCGAGTCCCTTGAGACTCACGACCATAGTTTACTGCCTCAGATTTGAGACGTCCCTTTTCGTCGCCTCCTACGACTCGCAGGGTCACGGTGAAGGTATTCGACCCCGCCTCCACACGGGGGACACTCGAATCGATTTGGTGTTCCCCTTTCACAACTTCGAGACAAACCTAATATACATCACCCCCTCATACGTTTTGTCTGTTATATTCTGTGTTTATCCGTTGCTACTTAACGTGCCTAGCGATTTGTAGCGAGTCGTTGTCTAACAATGGACTATTCCGTCTTTCAGACGTCATGTTATAATATTTTCGTAATTTCCCATTGAATATCTTATTCAACCCTATGGACATTCTTATGTGTTATGTATATATCATTTATCCTTATTGCAAGGCGACAAATAGACAAGCTGTTACGTAACCTGTACCAGAGGGCTTAAACCATCAATGTTGCCTTGTTCCATCAGCCAAATAAAAGACCGTGAGCTTGAGTTCCTCACAGCAGTGGTTATGAAGGCTTATATCTTCTGGGATGTAATACCCTGGCTGACTCAACATAATGCTCGGTGGTATATCGCAGAAGATACAACTCTTCAAACAAAATAATACGTAAACAAAGTAAGAATATTTATAGGTAATACCTGTTCAGTTGAGAAACGCTTCCGTTGTGCTACAGGTTTCGTAGAGAAGAAACCGCAGTTGCGCACAGGTTTCAGTAAACTGAACTGCTTGGCGTCACTGCTATGTTTTGTGGTGTAATGACTGGGATACTAAATAGCCGAAAAGAGGGAGATGTGTTTGGAGGCTCAACGAAGCCTGAAACCATTTGACTCTTCGTGATACTTGTCATTATCTGCAGTTATAATAAAGCACAAAGCCTTGTCATGGAAACGGAAGTTGTGAGATTAAACCTTCATGTTTCACTGTTGTTAGCAATTGAGTAAATTTATGTATATAAATAAACGCTATCGCAATATAGCGGGCCGGTAAGGCCCAAGCAGTAGTCCTTCATTCATATTCGAGTTGCTATGGGTTCGAATTTCACGAACAGAACATTGGAGCTTGTAATGTATCACTGTCGAGGACTTCCATTACAGAAAATGAAAGAATACATTTGATACATATGAATATTTTATTGGAATATACGCTGATATTTACGTTCTTAGTAGTACAGTGGACCTTCAGTTAACGATATTAATTGGTTCCACGAAATTGAAATTAACCTTATTCGAATATAAGAAATACATAGTAAGGGCTTGAGTCTTTTGAAGACAAACACAAGTAGAACTTTTTACTTCAAGAACACAGTTTATTTAAACACGCATCGTAGTTGGTTGAGGGGTTATGCTACAAGCCGAAAGGTCGCGGGTTCAAGTCCCGGCGAGGTCATTGGATTTTTTTTCAGTGGACCTAATCCTTCCAACCGCACTATGGCCCTAGGGTTCACTCAGCCTCTAACAGAAACGAGTACCAGGAATTAATTAAATGATTTTCCTGAGGAGTAAAGCGCGGCCGGCGCGTAATGATGACAACCTTACCGCCATCTGTGAGCCGATTGTCTAGATAGTGTGGGAGCCTCAACGTCTCACAACCCTATGGGCCTTCACTGCCTGTTACAGGGATAGCTTTACTTACTTTACTTACGAAATTTAGTAAATAAACGCGATGGGAATATACGTATACATTGAAACTAATAGAAACGTGGATAAAGACGAATAAACAGCGTAGGGCATGCATAAATAGAGAATAAACGGGATACAAAGCAACTGAAGGCTCATTGGAGCTCCTGGCTCGAGCTCTTATCTTGGTCTCTTTCTGAAGAAATTCCACGCCTGAAAACGCAAGCCAGCTGAGCTCAAACACTCATGAAAGGGCATCGCTGATTGGCTGAAGTCTACTAAATCCACTTAGAAGATTTTAAATTGGCCAAAGTTCTCGCAGCTTTATATATAGCTTTAATGGAAGCAATGGCAAGTCAAGGAGGATGTGGAGGCAGGTCATATAGCACGAATAAGGGAGACGAGGAATGCGTATAGGATATTGGTGAGAAAGCCAGAAGGAAAGAGACCACAAGGAAGACGAGGGCGTAGGTGGGTGGATAATATTAGAATGGATCTTAGAGGGATAGGATATGATGGTATGGATTGGATAGATCTGGCTCAGGATAGGGACCAGTGGAGGGATCTTGTGAACACAGTAATGAACCTTCGGATTTCATAAAATGCTGGGAAATTCTTGAGTAGCTGCAGAATTGACGGCTCCTCCAGAAGGGCTCAGCTCCATGAGTGAGTAAGCAAGTAAATGACATTCTATAGGAGAGGAGTCGAAAATAATACTTGTGTGTAAATATTACCCAGGTACATTTTCACCTCAGTTTTCATCAGGGAATCACTTAGGGGAGTATGCAAGCACAATCATCTACGCGGTAGTGTCATTAATTTCGTGGACTGTGGTTTTATCGCATCATATTACAAGGTATTCACATATACTTACACAGATCCCCATCAGCCCTCAAAACAGTTGCCGTTGGCCGCTATGCAAGTCTGCCAACTTTGATATAGCCGTCGAAAACATTGCTGAAACATATTGGCAGGAAATTCCGGTACGACGCTTTGCGGCCATTCCACGAACTTATTGACTGTGGTAGTACGGTATGTATTGTTGGTTACCTCTTCGGGTTATGCTTCAGTCTTTTTCACGAAATATTTTTCAGGGATCAATTTTTTTTTCGATGTTCGTGAAGGACTCTCATGGTGGAGCCCTGCAAATTTCCATACACCCTTAACATTTTTAGAGAGACAGAGCAAGGAATGGTAGCACTTGTTCTCCTTATCAATAGGGAATTGAATGCCTTACACTTGAGGTACGTAAGAATTGCTGACCTTGTTAACCCAATGTAGCTTTTAGTTGACGGCTGAGGAAGAGAATCAGAGATGACAACAGTATATTTTAAGTGGAGATAGAAAAATTCTCCTTTTCAAGGTTCCCAGGAATATAAAATTCATATCACATTCAAATCTACAAGTTTTATTTAGAGTAGGCCTCATTTTTCTATCAATAAACATTTAAAGATGTGAAAGCATAAACAATTTATGATTCTCTATAGTGCCACATTTTTACAAAATTATAATTTATTTGTAATAAATTTACACTGAGGACAATAAGATATGGAAAATAGCAGGAAAGGTGTTTATAAACTATACATGTATATTATTGTTTCAGTTATATCGATAATATAATCACAATATTAGGGCGTGTAATATTTTTGTTGAAAATAATGTTTTCACATTACTATCGACACTTGCAGAAAATTCTCTCCAGCTCAGAGCCAAAACAATTACCGGTGTTCTGTTTCTGTACAATGGAATCGTTTTGATGCTGCTTGAGATTACGATAATAGCCTACAGTGCGCCGATAGAGCACTGCACGTGCTGGTTGCTGGTATTACCAATTCTGTCGGTAGGTGAATCTGTCAACAATAGCCTCTAATTGTCACGTGACGTAAAATTTCATTTTAATTTCTTCGTTATTAGATATAATGATTCGTTTATGAATACACGAATCAGTCTCTAGTATGCCATCATTTGGGTATATGGTCACCAAAGTGTCCTGTACGCACAAGGCTTGAACCAATATCCCTTCAATTTCTTAATGGCGTTACTTGGTTTGAGGTTCTTGCTGTGGTAACAATGGAGATTTCTCCTTCCCGTTTGCTTGGCTTACTTTTCAATTCTGAAGATTGAGTCAGTACAATCCTCTGAAACGTTGATAAACATCGACCAGGCTACACGGCGTCACAACCTATAAGATAGTGCTCATCGTGATTATCTTGTTCATGGAATTTCTCAGTGAATTGATACAGGAAAGGAAATGATCTGTACGGTCGTACAGACGAGCATCACGAGAAAAGCTAATCAACTGAAAGCTGGCGAAAAGAGCCTTCAAATCCGAAAATGTCGCTGCTATAAATTTTCTTCCCAGGGCGTTTTGACTCGTCAGCCTTTAGTTTATCCTGTTCCACAAACCAGTCCCGATAGCTTTCTAGTTTCTTCTTCCAAGAATCTGGAACACAAAATCATATTTTAAGTTGTGATATTTACTTCTATGACGCCATTTTATTCCTGCGGATGGTTACCGATTCTTTTCAGGAAATTACTGCATCCTTTATCAGGTAGAAGTCTTTCAAATCGTTGGTAAACATTGAAAAGCTATACGGTATAGTTCAGAAGACCATAATATATTGGAACGCATTTGGCCATTGCTAGGCAACGGCTCGGTAAACACGTTTTCGTAATTTTATGAAAAAGTTAAATAGTTCCGTTCAGTGTGATTGGTTAAGATTTTTTTTTTCTTATTTCAATTTTTCATGCCCTTACATGTTTCGGTCCCCAGAGACCATCTTCAGAGGGACACCTTTACATCAATACAGTTAGAAGCCACTATTACAGTACATGTTCTAAAAGTTAAAATATATACATACAATATAAATATTATACAATTGGGTGTAAAATCTAACGTCTTTACAACTACAGCGGCTGTTCCAATACATTAAAATATTTATAGTTAGTTGGATAAGATTCTATTGGAATTCGTAAAACCAAGCTGGTTCGTGTCGTCCCTTTTATTATTTCTTTTTGACGGTGGACGAATGTGTGCCCCCTGTCGTCGAGAAGAGGGTTTTTGATGTTGTCCTGTATGTGTTTGTGGCTAAGGAAAACATCAAACCATTTGTTCCGGCCGATATTCGAACAGGACACCTCAAGATTACAAGTCTAGAGCTTTACAGCTACACCATTCCGCTCAGTAGATTTGGGTATTGAAATCTCTGTTTTTGTATTTCTTTTATTAGTATTCCCGTATTTATAAGCTGATCACAGTGGCAGCACGGTCTAAGGCATAAACTGTGTTCGTCCTCTCGCAAACTGAGAACGTGGGTTCGATGTCTGTGTGCGTTTATTCTGTATTTGTGTTGTTCTGTATATAGGTAGAAACCTTGCGAACGACTCATCCCCCGTCCAAGGAGTCGCACCAACTGTGTATAGATTAAGAAACTGAAAAAACACTAAGGTCCACAAGGGCTGTAGATCCAGACAGCCCATCAGTAAGAGGGCGCTTAGTTACTGTAAATGCAAATATAACATGCTCTGTACCCTGAAATTGTAACGTCAAGGTCATATGAAAGTTCTTTTTCCGTCGTGTGCGTGCGTGAAAATGAGGTGGGATATACGACTCACTGAGATAACGCGCGTGGCCAGAAGCCGTGTTTCTAACCGCGCTGTGTTCTCAAGGTGTCGCGCGGTCGAACACATTTCGCCCCGTTTCCGACTTCTTTTCTTTTCGGGCAAGCGCGACTATAGTCTGCTCCGTGCGTGTTTCCAATTTGAAATTTGTATACTATTGTTTAACTTTCTTTAATATTGATAACTTTATAGATACCTAAGTACCGCGGAGAAGTTCATGGAGGTAGGCCTAGGCCCACTGGGGCTGTAGTGCCAAGGGAAAAAAACTTAAGTACCGAGAAGCAGAATATTGGGTATTAATTATTTGGAGGTGTGCCCGTTTAGTTACTCACGATATATATAACATTTTCAGTCTGTAATATTCAAGAAATGAAAAGATTTAGCCTACAATTTTATCGTGTTTCTTGTCTTCGACTTAAAATTACAGAGAGGCAGATTTTTAGTGACAAAACCCGTCTCTGTAAGATTTGAGGTTTTCTCGGCGGTAACGTTCCTCCGAAACGTCGGTTTATACGAGATCTACACGACGTCACATTCCTCGACATTCTTCAAAATCTTCCTCTAGTTGCGTGGAGAACTACTACTGTAATGGTAAGTGTACCTTACACGGGCTTGATAAATTTGAAGACGTGGCAAACTTGCACTTCGTTTCATGTCTTCATTTGCATGTCCTCGCAAGGACGGAAAGGAAACATTTACGCGGCCCTAGCCTGAGGCGTCTGTCAATACACAAAACACTCTTACGCTATTCCAAATATTTCAGCGATAGAGCTCTGAAAACATAAGTGTACAATTTGATTGACTTCCTGTTAAATAACAAACCATGACATGGCAGCTGAACGACCTTACTATTGGGGCCACAAATATGGTTGTTGCTAGGTGACGACCGATAAGCCATTTCCGAGGCAACTAACACGTGACGGAACAATAGAGAAAGTGTTGGATGCGGCGTTTTCTTTGCGATCTATGCAAAGTCTCTATAGAGAGAGCCATCGGGAATAGTTAGCCGATTTTCCAAGTGAAGAAAGTACTAGTCTTGAGTCTTAAGGAGCTTGTCGCCAAGACGAACTGATTGGCGGCAAACCGTCAGCCTTAAAGTAATTCTGACTCTATATTAGTTATTGCCTGTGTGGGAGGGGGGCGCAGTTTCGAATGCGTATACCTTAGCCCCGTGTGTCTTAGGAGGCGACGAAAAGGGAACCCAGTGCTTGAGGGATATAACTGGGCTAACCTGTTCCTGGGGGTTATGAATACGGGGACCTGGACGTCCAGGTTGTGGGAGTCTCAAATCTGAGACAGCGGGACTCGGGCTCAAGAATGACTGCACTAGCGAGGACCAGCATAAATTGTAAAGGACAGACCCATCCTCTCGACAGAGGGGATACCGCACATCTATAAAACCACACCTGTCTGGCAGAAACAAATATCTGGTCTTGGACCCCAGATGGGGCTCGACACCAAGACCGACTGACCGTCGGTCGTAACATAACTTTGACTTGAAATTAATTGTGGCTCGGAAGATGGGCAATTAGAACAATGTGTTATGTGCGAGATAGTCGCCAGCCGGCAAGGACGTGAGCAGAAGAGCACATTATTTGGATCCGTTACCAGGCAACCTTTAGTGACAAGATGAGAAGACTTAGTGTATGCTGTAGTAAAAATTCCTTTGTGTGAATTAACCATAGCGCTTTGATTACTTGTGGTTACAAGCTGCAAGGTAAAGGTAAATTGTCCCTGTTCTTACCTCATTAAGCACTACGGCATGAAGATGTATGGAGTAGATATATGGAACCTTGTATTCTTGTACGAGTTTTTAAGAGTTCAATAAATCCATCTACTAATTCAAACCCCGTGTCTAGTCGCTAAAACATGTAACAGTATAACACTATGACTTACCCCAAAGGTCGCTTATAGAACCAGCTTTACCTCCATATTCTTCAGGTAAAATAGTTTTGTTGACTTTGTCATGGAGAGAATCCATTCCTTTTGTATGAACATGCATCTGAAATTGAAGCACCAAACACAAATTATGTTCATTCCTTTAATGTTCAAGTTTTTAAAGTTTGTTACTTAACGATGATGTCAGTATCAAAACTGCGTAACTTGATGATAATTAATGAATGTGGGGCAGCCGGTGGAGTGAACATTGGCAGGAGAACCGAAATATTCGGAGAGAGAACCCGTCCCTAGTCACACTTTGTCTACTGCAGGTCCCACAAGAATTGAACTGGGATTGAAATGACGCCTCCGCGGTGGGGAACCCGCGACTAACCGCTCGAGCACCGCTGTTAGAATTGAAATATAAGATTGCTGAAGTATATGAAGTTGCTGAGAACGATTTCCGGAACTGCCGGAGAAATGTAAACTGAATGATACGGATGGTTTGAAAGAGTTCATTTCGCTCTTCACAACGACATCGCAAAAGCGCTGCGTGAAATTACGAGGACGCACTCCGTGTCGTGCTTCTGCTGTTACTGACGGGAGGGAGTCTGCTATAAACAGTGTCTCTCTTGTCAGCTGTACTGATTTTAATGAAAAATTAGTACCCATTTACTCATGTTTATACGTTGTTAGATTTATCTTCTTGCTTTGTCTTATTGGATCCTGATGTCTTCTGTCTCAGGAGAGCGTCTTCAGGACTTCATATTGTACATTTTCAATACTGGGTGATATGCTTGTGTCGTGTACTACGATAGCGGGCCCCTTGTGTAACATACATTTTTATATATATTTGCTTATGAATAGATACTGGAGCCGATCACAGTGGCTGCATGAACAGTCTTCGCCCGCTCGAACACTTGGGTTCGAATCTCATTCGAAGCACGGATGTCTATATGCGTTTGTTCTGTGTTTGTGTCGTTCTGTGTATAGATAAAGGCTTTGCGACGGACTGATCCCCCATCTAAAGAGTCCTTCCGACTGTGTGTAGGATTAAGAAATTGAAAAGCGGCCAGGGCCCAACAAAGGGCTGTAGAGCCTAGATAGATAGATAGATAGATAGATAGACAGACAGATAAATAGATAGTTAGTAGATAGATAGAGATACTGGACATTTGAGGAAATTTTGAGTCCTTTGTAACAGTTGTGGTCTTAATATGTACATACCCGCGTTCAACCTAGTCACGTGGATTGTATAGATATAATTTTTTGACAGAATATTTATTGGTTCTTTAGTTTCGGGATTTTGTAATGAATGACAGGTATTTGGTTTCAGGTTAGAACACTGACACTATTTTAATGAAGTAGTCATACTTATGGATATTATATAAATTTCGGTTTTCAAGAAATATTCGAAGCCCTCACAAATTAACATAACATTCGACCTGAGTTTAAAAATATTTACACATGCTAGAAGCCCCACACCCCAAGAATCTTAGGCTCATGATCATTTCCATCATCCTCTTTAGAATGAGTGTAACCACCAGTTGCTACGAAACGTCTTTTCAACGTTTAATAGTACGACGCTACAGGCACGTGTCAGAACAGCAACTCACCCTAGCGGCAATCTTGGGCTTCATGACGCTACGCATCAGGGCGATGACTACGTCAGCATATGGCGGCACATTCACGTAGTGAAGAGCCTTGATCCTTGCGCTGTAACCTTTCTGCAACGAAAATAGGCACAGGAGGTTTCCGGAAATCAGGCCTTTACAAAGCAACGTCTGTTGAAGGATGAGAACTACACTACAATATTCATAATGCATGCATATCACTTTGGAAAGACGATAATGTTCATCATTATTATTGTACTGGATAATTCTGATAGGGCCTTTTCAAAATTATTTTGATTAATTTTTTTTAATTTTATTTGGTCAAAAATGTGGAGAGTACTGAAAACAATCATCAGTCCTCCACAAAATACAAGATATAATTATAATATAAAATTATGTGATAAATCATTCAGGCAAAATCCAACTTTTTGGGAAGAAGGATAAAAATTATAATTATTTACACGAAGACGTTAAGGGCAAATTGAATTAACAACAAAGTCGATAGCGATATGGATTATTAGGCAACTAAATATTGTGGATTAACACCAAATACTTGAGGAATATGCTGTTTCCATTTTAAGGATCGAAGTATCTTAACCCCAGAAGATGGATGTAATATGTTTCCTTCGAAACGTTCGTATCCACGTAAAATACTACACAGCGTTACAAGCCAGAATACGACAGCCCGAAAATTCGAGGCCTGAAAACGTTAAAAATTTATGTTGGGCGATATTTTCCTAACTTCCAGCATATAACAACCTGAAGTTCAAACTATGAACTCGTTCATGTTGATTTATATTGGTTTGATATTTCACGTAATGGGGAAAGCACAGATAAATGTGCTGGAAAATATGGCGCTGAGGACAACATTTGGATCCTACAGAGATATATTAACAGGAAGTGTGACGACACAGTAACACGTGACAATTAACAGGAAGTAGGAGCTTTATAACATGTAAACCTACTTTGAAATAATCAAACGAAGGATAACGAGAGAGTCAGGACAGGTAAGACTCGTGGAAGAGCTGAGAAATTCATACAGATTGTTTGTGGAATAATATGGAAGTAAGAATTATTTGGTATTTCACCTAGATGAATAGCATGTAAAACTTAAGTCGGATTTGCCTTGCCTCAATTTGGGATACAAATTCAGGCTGTTGCTGAAACGCTGATGAAATTTCAGATTTCATGAAGGGAGTGGAATCTGTTGATTAGCTGAGTAAGTATATTGTATTTTGAAGGAAGAGCCTGGACATTGTATTTTGTTTCCTTTCCTACATTGTGCCTAGAACAAAACGAAGATAATTAGGTTATCGTTAATGTTTTACTAGAATTATTTTTCGTTGAACAATGGAAACGAAAGTCGCCATAACCTGAAAAGTATTGTGGCGTATTTGCTCCATGCAAGAACGGTTGAGCCACAAAGACAACTATTTCTAAGTAATACACGCACCAACAAGGGAACAACGGGGTTATGCAACCCGCTTCTAGGCTACGGCTCGGTAAACAAACTTCCTCCCAGACACAGTGACGTCACACTCCAAGCGTACTTAGCTATCTCATGACTTGTTTTTTTCTGTGACTGTGTTACGCAAAGGTTAAACTGTCTGTATAACACAGTCCGTCAGTAATGAAACGNCTGGGATCGAACCCGGGCCGCCGCGGTGGGAAGCCAGCGACTAACCGCTTGAGCTATGGCACGGCCCTTGTTTCGGCCTTAGATGGCTATCTTCAGGCGTTTCAATATATGGAAAACTGCTACACTGCATTAATATGCAGTAAAATCACACGCTGTAGTGTACTTAATAAAATAAGATAAAATAAAATTTATTATAATTTTTCTATTAATTTAAATTAATAGAAAAATTGTAATGAATTTGATTTTATTTTATTAAGTGCACTACAGCGTGTGATTTTACAGCATATTAATGCAGTGCAGCAGTTTTCCATATATTGAAACACCTGAAGATGGCCGTCTGAGGCCGAAACATGTTATGTTGAAGTCTTAAGTGGAAGAAAAAAGAACAATTTGTTGCACTATTCACTGACTGTGTTATACATAGACTTTTAATATGGTTTGCAACAGGATGCTTAAATACAGAATTAATAGCAGAACTATGTTTTCTGCGTTGTCCGTGCATCGGCTATAAAACACGAGTCCGCTTGCAGTTAAGAAGAATACAGTAAAGGTGATAGTTGAGTTCCGAGTTTCCATGGCTATTGAGCGAGAAACGTAGTGATTTGAAGTGCCACTTTCTGTGTTGAGATCCGTTGCTAGAAGCCGACTAATGTAAACCGAGAATCCTAGTGCGTATGCAGCGGTGAACTATAATTTGAGTAAATCAGTGATAACGCTATATTAAATGTGATTAAGAGAAATTTTAACAGAAGTGCTAATAAATCCATTCATTCTAAGTGGAACCCGTTGTTTTCGTCACGCGTACCCCCTACACATGACAATATTTGTACAAATTACGTTTACACTACTAAATTATGTAATGTATAAAACAGGAAGGTGGGATATATAAGAGTAAAATTCAATCAGATGCTTAGAAATGAAACTTAAAAAGAAATATTACTCTTAGTCAGACACCAATTAATTAAAGCCGTCGCAAAGAAAACGGGCATGTCAGAACTTACCATGGCACACACTTCGAGCTTCTTGACTGCTGTGAACGTAATTTTGGCAACATGACCAAGTCCAAAGTTGGCCATGTCCACGATGTATGTATCGGCCACACAGCAATCCTCAGAAAATCTCACATCTCCCACCATGAAGATTAGTTTGAAGAAGTCCAGGAGATTATACTTTGTGGCGTCGGGGTGTAGGTTCCCCACCACCACGACGCGGTGGCACTCCTCTGTTAGTCGCGGGAGTGGCAGACAGTATCTACATCAACACAGTGCAAGTGATCACTCTCCCGAAGGTTAGGAACAGGTAACTATTACATTTAAGGCATTTAGTAATACCATTCTTAGAGCTACGTAGCCTAGTAGAGAGCGGTACTGTTACACGAACCTACCTCATCGTGTAGAGCCGTTTCTAGGCAACGGCTCGGTAAACATGTTCCCGCGGCAACGGATATGAATGCAACAATAGAGGTAATGTTGGAAACGGTGGTTTTTACTCGGTCCGTGCAAAGGTTTGTAAGGAAGACAATTGGGACAACCTAGTCAGTTCTGTACTGGAGTCTATGAAGAAAATGGGCAGTTAGAAGGGAGCCGCCATGTAGAGAAGATTTCAGCGCGGAAGCTGAAGAATCTCCTCTGTTAGAAGCTGTTATCAGGGAACGGCTGGTGAAGATACAGCAGCCTGGAAGAGGCTTAACGTGTACTGTGGTGATTTGTAAAGTTTCAAGGTTATCGTTGGCGCTGTAATTACTTGTAGTTCTGAGTTGTGTGTTAAAGTGGTCAATAAATCCAATACCCAAACCAAAAATCCATCTATAGTCACGCCATACTACTTGGAAATATATATATCATCGTCAGTAATCTGTCAGACGACAGGTCCACAGTCTCTTCCAAAACAATTCCTCCACTTAATGTGATCTAGAGCTTTCTCCTTCAAATGTCAGTATCCTCTTCTGTCCCCAAGGTCATCCAGAATCTTCTTAGGTCTTCTTCCTCGTCTTCTTGTCACTTCTATCCGCCCCTCTATCTTTCCTTCAATAACTTCTTTTAGAAGGCAGT